GGTTAATCAGAGGTTGGCTTGTAATGGATGTGTGCTGATGCTGAGGGCCAGTGACGGTGATCTGACGTCTCAGAGTCTGACTCACTGCCGTCGAGTGTGTCTGTGCATGTGAGTGTGCAAGAGGCGGATGCGCCGCGTGGCATTATGTATTCTACTGTGAGTCCGCTCTCTCAGCGTAGTGACTTCAGACGATCCACCAGACTGCTGTGCTCTCAAAGAAAGACAGTTGTGTGACGCACTCACCAGACTGGCCGTCACACACATTCACACAAGGGAGCGGACAACCTATGGCTTCCCTTATGGCCGTTTCCGCATGCTCTCAGAGATCAATAAATGCATTTGCGTTTGCATGTTTGTGCATCAGTGTCTCTGAGAGGATCTGCATGGTCAAACGGGTTGCTTTTTTCCCGGTTTTGTTTTGAAGCTGCATATAATTATGCATATGAAGTAGTAAGCTGAGTGGCCTTGAGATGGTGAGCCTCAGTCTAAAAACAAAGCTTGCACATGTGAAACACAAGGACGTATTGAGACCAGCTATGAAAACACAGGCCAGGACAGCATTCGCTTTCTGTCCACTTTGTAGCCCAAGCTTTTGCTTGATTTGAAGCATGAGAAAAACACCAAGCAGCTCAAGAAAACAATGTTGTTTAGCCACTAATTTAACAAGGTGGTCCAAATTAACAGGGAATGTTCTCAGAACTTTGTCTAACATTTTGGGAAAGTTCTATTAAAGTTCTAAACAAACGTTTTTCCAGTAACACTAATAGAAATAGAATATGCTTTCAATGTTAGCACAAATACATTATACATTGTTCATGGAACGGATGGACATTCGCATAAATTTTTTAAACGTTACTATTTGTTTTTGAGTGTTCAGAGAACATTCAAAAGTAGGCTAACATTCTCATAATTTTTGCAAAAAAGCATGGAATATTTGCATAACCAAGAAAAAAATTTAACCATTTAAAACACTTGACTTTTTGAATATTCAGAGAACATTTTTATAACTTAATGGGAACTTAGCAGAGTCTTAATGCACAGATCCGATCTTTTGACCATATTCGATTTTTTTTTTTGACCTGCCTGTTTACATTCACTTTTGACGTGATTGATATCCGATATCTGTGTTTACATTAATTCTTGCCCAAATTGATTGCCAGTGATTGCTTTACTATGCACATGGTGCATAATATAATTAACGTCGAGTGGCCGTTATTATTTGCCAGCATAGACAACAGCTGTCAAGGATGTTTTGCGACAAAATCTGACTGAACTGATACATAATGGAAAATATGGAAATAGGAGAGGATATGTGTGTTTAGATGTAGATATCGGATATGTATCCAATTTAAAACCACATTCGGAAGTGGCTCAGATCGGATGCGAAAACGGATTTTTGTGTTTACACACGTGCAACAAATTCTGATATGTGTCAGATGTGAGCAAAATATCAGATTTGTTGTGCCAGTGTAAACGCAGACTATAACATTGTGTGCTTGAAGTTAAACAACTTCTTAAGTTGACTAGACATCCTCAAAAGCACCACTAATCATGTGATTTCCTGAAAAAAAAAAAAAAAACATTGAGGTGCAACGTCACTGTCACAATCGATGGTTGTAATCACATGAAGACGAAGGTCAAGAAAACATAATAAACACCAAAGATAAGACCATAAACAGGTACAGGAGTAAACACAACCATAACATAGATGAGACCAAACAAACTAAAGGGGAATAAACATGGTCTTATATAGAAACAATAATGAGGTGAACACAGCTGAAGACTAACTCAGTCAAATCAGCTAACATGACAACTAAATACTGGCGAGAACTAGAACAGAGGAAAGAGGAAACTAAATAGAAACAAACTAAAAGTCAATGAAAATGAAACTAAGACAAAAATAACTGAATATGTTACAGTCACAACCAAAGACATCCTTCTAGCACATGTGTACGTGAGGGCTGAGAATACATAGATATTCAAATTCTGATGAAATTTCTTTAGGTCACCATTCATAAGCCCCTGATTAATTTTGATTCAGTTCTGATTCATCTGGGTATGTATCACTAATATACATTTTGCTTAAATATGAAAGAAATTCTTTGTCTGCTAATGCTGTAAATTATACAGGGCAGTGTTTTAAACTGATTCAAGCCAGTAAATCATCTTTTTGAAGATTAATTTGTGTCTGGAATCAGTCACTCTGTATGTTTTTGATTCACTAAAAAGAATCAACTCATAAAAGTAATTTATTTGTGAATCGGACTACCATGGCCAAGCCGTATGTTTTTGATACACTATAAAGAACCTGCTTATAAGCAGTGTTATTTTAGTATTATTTATATACGATGTAATATTTTTTTTTCATTTAATATTAATATTTTATTTTATTTCAGTTACCGGAAATTATTCTTAATAGTTTTAGTTGTAGTAAACAACAATGGCACTGCTTATAAGTCATTTGCTTGTGAATTGCTAGGTCAGGTTTAAGAGGACAAGTCAACAGAAAGAGTTTTTTTATTTTTTTTATTAACTAATTAATTTGTTTTTATTATTATTATTTTTTTGCCACTACACGTACACAGCCTTTCATTGCATCAACATCAGCAACATTCAAATGACGATTGTGATTAATCAAAAAAATCAATATGACCAATTAAAATAAGTGTAGCATGCTGAAACACAATGCTGTATGTGTAAACGGTCGCTAAAAACTATGATTATGCTTTTTCTTTCAGTAAAGTGTTGTTTTGCATGTGTTTGTCTGTGTGCATATGCACAGAGAAGCCATTTATTAGCTATACAGACCTGCTGTTCTAACCTGTAATCTCTGTACATTCGAGCTCTCAAATGTGCCATTTAGCCCGGGGAGAGAGAGAGAGAGAGAGAGCACAGCTCTGCTGGGGAGAGATGATTCTCTCTGTTACCTTGGCAGAGTTGATTCCAGGGCCGCCACACGTGCCCCATCAGTCTTCGCCATTCTGTTTTGCTGCTCTCTTCTCTTTATCTTTTGTGAACGGGGCTGGGAAGTGGCGAGGGGTCAGGGGCTCTGACGTTTATTCTGACGTGTATTGTTCTCACGCATATCATGCCATGGTGAAGATGTTATCTCATTTATGTCATCTCACAAAGACCATTCTCTCCTGAGCCTTCTGATAACACACTTTACATCCGCTTGACCAAGGCAAATTCTACCAACACCTAGTCTCACATAGCCAGGCTTTTGACTGGGTCTGATCAGCTTTGTCGTTTGTTTTGGCCAGTTAGAAAGGAATAAAGCATCTGACTGAAATATAAAGCAACTGACAGCATTTTCCCTTTTTCATGTGAAAGTTTATCTGAAATAGTAACTCTAATCTTCATTGTCACATGAACCTTCAGATATCATTCTAATATGCTGATTTGGTGTTCAATTATTATTGGTGCTTAATTATTAAAAATTGTTCTTATTATCAGTGTTGAAAATATTTTTTCTTGCTTCATATTTTTGTGGAAAATGCGATAATAATTACAGGATTCTTTGATAAATAGAAAGTTCAAAAGAACAGCATTTATTTGAAATATAAATATTTTGGGACATTATACATTTCTATCACTTTAATTAAATTTAAATGCACCCCTGCTAAATAAAAGTATTAATTTCTTTCTTGTTTCTTTTCTTTCTTTCTTTCTTTTTTTTTACTTATCACAGTGTTCACAAAAATGTTAAGCATCAAAAACGTTTGTGCTCGAGAAAGAAATGTTTCTTGAACATCAAATCAGCTATCAACTATAATTATAATTTTTTTAATAATCATTCTAATTCTATGAGAATAGGGAAGTCCACACCACAACTATACCGATAACAACACAGAGTAATGATATCGTTGGAATCACTTGCAAAATTATTTTTCCAGCTGATGAACAATACAAACTTTGATAGCCCGTCAGAATCCACTCAACTTTAAAGACTCAAAAAAACTGCAGCTCACACTTAATAAAAATAAACAGAACATTAACATGTTGAGGTTGTTGATAATATGCTAAAAAATGTAGCTTTGCCATTACAGAAATAAATTCAATTTTAAAAAGTATTAAAATGGCAAACAGTTCTTTTACTTGTGTGTGTATATATATATATATATATATACTGTACACATTAATATTTTATACTGTATATAATAAGATATATATACAATAAGATTTATTTTTGGCATTTTGGCCTTCATTACAATAGGACAGATCAGAACTGACAGGAAGCGAAGTGGGAGAGAGATAGGGGGAGCAGGATCGGGAAAGGTCCTCAAGTCGGGATTCGAACTCGGGACGCCCGTACTGCAATAGTGCTTGCTGTATGTCGGCCCGCTGCCCACAAGGCTATCGGCGCCGATTTAATTGTAACAATGTTTTACATGTTTTGCATTTTGGATTTAAAAAATGCAGCCTTAGTGAGCATAAAAGACATCTCTCATTAGAAATATCAATTATTCCAAACGTTTGACCAGTACTGTATATGTGAAAAACTTTGATTGATTGATTGCCAGGGTTGGCATCTGTCTTTTAGTAAAGCTTACCAAATAGTCTAAATAAAATAGAGTTAAGAGGAAATCCATGAAAACCTGAATTGGTCATTAAATATGTATTTTATAGGGATAGTTCACCCAAAAATGAAATTTCTGTCATTATTTACTCACCCTTATGTCGTTCCAAACCTGTAAGACCTTCGTTCATCTTCAGAACACAAATTAAGATGTTTCTGATTAAATCCGAGAGTTTTTTGACCCTGCATAGACAGCAACGCAACTGACTCGTTCAAGGTCCAGAAAAGTAGTAAGGACATCGTTAAAATAGTCCATGTGACATCAGTGGTTCAACCGCAATGTTGTGAATGTTATATAGCAATGTTATGACTTTATTCGACAATTTCTTCTCTTCCATGTCAGTCTTCGACACACATTCATGAGAGGATCACAACACACAATTCACAGAATTCAACGCGTGTTCACGACAGTACCACGACTGTTGTATTCCAAAGATGAACGAAGGTCTTATGGGTTTGAAACGACACAAGGGTGAGTAATTAATGACAGAATTTACATTTTTGGGTGAAATATCCCAAATAATATAACACAATAATATATTGCAAAGTGTGTTTTTACTTGGTATATGTTGGCTTTTCTCACATGAATAACATTTTATGAATAACAAGACTAAAAGGTCCTTGAAAGAGTGATTATGAACATGCTAAATGAACTTATTCTGTTTTGAATAACTGAGAGTCTGTCTCTGAGTCTGTCACCTTACTGTCATTACACACTGCATGCAAATGCTGTTACAGTAAGTACTCTGCAAATACTATGACTTAGATCAGAGATAATAATTCAGCCAACAGACCATTCATTCAAATACAGTTGTCACTCCTCTTAAACCCATTGTTTACACACAGAGTTTGAGTAATAACAAAAGCACAACCACATTTAAACTTAATTCACACATGAAAAATTCAGGTTAATGACAACCACATTTTCTTTAAAATTTAAAAAAACATTAGGTACTTTCTTTTTTTTAATCACTCATGGTTTTCACTCCCAAAGATTTGCATTGTGTACATGACCAGTTTTGCACCATAAAAATTATTTATGGAATGGCTTATGGAATGGGTGTGTTGGTCCTCCATCAGTGTCAAAAGGTTAATACCTACGCATTATATAAGAGGATTTGGAAAAAACAATAGTTAAAGGGGTCATATGATGCGATTTCAATTTTTCCTTTCTCTTTGGAGTGTTACAAGCTCTTGGTGCATAAAGAAGATCTGTAAAGTTGCAAAGACTAAAGTCTCAAATCCAAAGAGATATTCTTTATAAAAGTTAAGACTTGTCCATGCCCTCCTAAAACGCCTCGTTTAAACACGCCCCCACATATCTACGTCACTGTGTGGGAAGATTTGCATAACGCCGCCCAAATGTTCACGCAAAGAAAGAAGGCGTAACTTTTATTCTCACTGTAGTATTGTTGACGCTGCAGCCATGTCGTGAAGGCGCTGTGTGCTTCGTTGTGAAAGCGAAACTACTTTGTTTGGTCTTCCAAAAGAGGACGATATCCGCTTCGTCATGCCTAGAGCTGATCCGTGCTGGTCGCTGAGGAAAAACATCATCTTCGCACAGTCAATCGCCGGATCGGCTTTCACCGTGGACGAAGCAGAGTCCAGCCCGGGGTCGTCACATGTGGTTGCCGCAAGCCTCCTTTGTCGAATTCGCCGGGCGCCGCTCACTCAAGCCGCTGTGTGTTTCGTTGTGAAAGCGAAACTACTTTGTTTGGCCTTCCAAAAATGGACACGACTAGAAATCAGTGGTTAAGTTGTATTTACAACACTGTTCCAGAACACTTCAACCCAAATATTCAGATGTGTGCAGCACATTTTATGGAGGACTGTTTCCTGATCCTGGTAGAGTAGACTACAATGCCGGCTGTTCTGACTCAAAGACTGTAAGTAAGTTTTTTATATTTAAAGAATTTGCCACTGACGATTCAAACGCGAGTTTTGAGCAGTGTAGAGTAGCGCTTGTTGTTTGTCATTTCTCCGATCACAAATGCAGACATGGTTTTATGTTTACGCGGCGCGATGCAACGCAAAGTGTAAAAAGACAGTATAAGTCATTATAATAAGTAATTAGTCACATGCTTGAGGTATTCGGCCAATCACAACGCTCTGGATAGCTGGCCAATCAGAGCACACCTCGTTTTTCAGACCGATGAGCTTTGTAAAAATCGAAAGGCGTTTCAGAAAGGCGGGGCATAGAGGAGAAACAATAATGTACATTATGTGGAAAATAATGTGTTTTTTTAACCTTAAACCGCATAAACACATTGCATTACACCAAATACACAAAATAATGTTCTTTTTAGCAACATCATATGACCCCTTTAACTAACTATACAAAATAGTTCTGTTACGTTCCTGTGAATGCTGAGTTGATGTGGATGATAACGCTGAGGTTACCAGGAACAAGTCAAGTACAAGCAAATAAACAGAAGGGAGAAGGAACATTAAGGGCTGCACATGCGCAGGTCAAACAGAAGGCAAACTGCTCAAGATCGCTCGAACCAAATATTTAGTCTCGCGAAGAACAAAAAAGAATGTTATGCAGAACGTTTGCTATCAAACTGCAGCCAAACATCCCGAGTTTCTTTCTGAGATGAGGTTTTACTATGACGTGTGTCAGCGCACAATATGAGGAATGAACAGGTCTCTGTTATCAGCAGTGAGATTGTATCTGTGTGTGGGTGTCTGCATCTGTGCGTGTGCATGCTGTCCAGTTCACGTGTAATACACTGTAGTTTTTGGGAACATAGGTGGAGATTTGGGTGGGGAGTGAATTTTCATGATCTCACGAGTCATGCACTTAATTGTTGCCTGTCAAAGGGTTAATAGTGCACCAGTGTAATTTTCTGAAACTAATACACAAGAAATTAGTAAACATGAATCATGAACAAGGTTGTTTTTACTGTTTTGATGCCGGTTTTTTTTATTTACACTGTTGTTATTGTTGAAGTCATTAAGTTGTTTTGTGATGGAGTTCATTTTTATGCACTAATTTTTATGTTCCACGTTAACACACAAGGTCTGTGTCTTATTTTTTATGACATGCTGTCACACAGATAACTTCAATTCTATTCAGCTTTACACATCATTGTGCTGTTTGAAATGTGACTGTTTAATATTTGAACTTTCTGAAACTAATACACAAGAAATTAGTAAACATGAATCATGTTTTTACTGTTTTGATGCTGTTTTTTTTATTTACACTGTTGTTATTGTTGAAGTCATTAAGTTGTTTTGTGATGGAGTTCATTTTTATGCACTAATTTTTATGTTCCACGTTAACACACAAGGTCTGTGTCTTATTTTTTATGACATGCTGTCACACAGATAACTTCAATTCTATTCAGCTTTACACATCATTGTGCTGTTTGAAATGTGACTGTTTAATATTTGAACATATTGCTAAAGTAATTTATAAATAGGTTATTGATCCAAGTGATTTTACATCAGATTTATAAACTGAAAAGTTAGATTTACCCATTTACTTTGACACAAAGTAGATTTTCCTTTAATTTAGTGCAAAAACTAATAAAGAAGAAAGTTAAAGAAGAAAAATTGATTGAATTATTATTATTATTACTATTTTTAATTATGTCTTTATTTTTTGGTAAGTGTATGTGCAGAATTTCCTCTTTTTCAGTCACACTACCACACAAGTTCAATATGATTTTCGGGTCAATATTATTATTTTTTTTAGGAGATTAATTTTATTTAGTACGGATGCATTAAATTAATCAAAGGTGAGAATAAAGACTTTTATTTTCTTACATTTCTATTTCAAATTAATGTTATACTTTCTATTTATCAAAGAGCCCTGAAAAAATGATCTTTATTAACAAAAAATGTTAAAGGGTTAGTTCACCCAAAAATCAACTGTTTTCTGTACACTAAAATATAAAATATAAGGCTGAGGGAGGGATCTTGGTGTTCTAAGGATTGTGAATGATTATTATAAATACTGGGACATATTAGAATGTTTATGATAATGAGGATTATTATAATGTATTATTGTGATTATTGAGACGGACATATTGTATTTGGGTATTTGTATATAACTATTATAATATCACATAAATGATTAGTAACAGACAATGGCAGCAAGCATATGGTGTAATATATGGGAATGAATTGGGGGTGGGAGCAAATAAGTTCTACTTCTTTCCACTCCCTTTCGAGCAATTATTATATGTGTAAATATGTGTATGGATATGTGTAACATAATTGTATATGTATGGATACATATATATAAGATACTTTTACTAGATAAGCAAAATGACATAAGATATTTAGTCTTGTTTCCAGGGCAAAAAAATAAATAAAAAAATTAAGAGCATTTTGCTTAAAACAAGTAAAATTATCTGCCAGTGGGGTAAGTAAAATAATTTTAAAACAATATTTTTTTATATATTTCCCCCCCCGGAAACAAGACTAAATATCTTATGTCATTTTACGTATCTAGTAAAAGTATCTTGATTTAAGAACTTTTTGATATTTTGACTAGAAACAAGCCAAAAATACTAAGTAAGATAAGCCATTTTTTGCAGTGTATTGATAATAATAAGAAATGTTTTAAAATAATAATAAGAAACATATTATTTCTAAAAGATCATGTGACACTGAAAACAAGTATAATGGCTACAGAATAATATTTTTTAAATTACATTTTAACATATATTTAAATAGAAAAGAGTTATTTTAAATTGTAGTAATATTTTAAATGTTACTATTTTACTGTAATTTTGATTATATAAATGCAACCAAGTGAGCACAAACAAGAATCTTTCCAAATCAATCAATCAATCAATCAATCAACTTACATTAGGGTGGACAGTAATGCTGATTACAAAGTACACACTCATTGTACTTTGAGTGTGTACTTTGCCTATCATATACAGATGTTGCTGTGGAAGTGTTTGAGCATTTTCGGCCTTGGCAGATTAAAATTAAACTAACATTGGTCACATTTCATGTCAGCAAGACAGACCTTTCCTGTGGCCAATTATAGACCAGAATATGTTGCAAGCTAGAACAAATTTATGCTGATAGTCAAAAGTCTGGCTTTGTAAGATGAACAGGCATGACTGTACTCCTAGTCGTAAACTAGTCATGTCACACAGGAATGCATATTAATGTGCTGCTCTATGATTGCAACATTCTTGAAGAATTTGTAAAAAAGGATTTTGGTTTTTCTTTTTTGGCTAAAAAAATTATGTTTGTTGGAAAGACTGCTGTAAGTAAATACTTATTAATTTGAAGGTTAACGACCTTAGCAGTGCTTCACTGACCACCACCCAAGTTCCAATGAAACTGATTTCACTGTTAGTGGGTGTGTTTTCAAGCATGCATGAACGTTTCAACCTGAATTTTGGCTTGTGTGTGTGTGTGTGTGTGTCTGGCCTGACTCTGCTGCATGACAGCTGGGAGTGGCTCTGATTCACTTTCCTACAAAAGTTCCATCTAAAGGTTTGACAGTCTTAATCTCTGAAATCACATGACTGCTATAGCTCTTATCGTGAACCTGCTGTGGGAATGTTCCCAAAACTACACATGACACTGATTGACAGCATTTCCTCTCATATTTGCATGCATTTTAACCATATCTCATATTTGTGGTTGTCTCTATATGATATATAGGGAGGGCACGCATGCAGGAAAACTTGATTGGCTGAAGCATTGCTTGCAAATTGTAGAAGCTAATTGATGCAAATTAGTCAAGCTAAGAAAGAAACACAGACATTTGCATATCAAGGTTGGGCCAATAGGCTTCCTGACAGTATTCTCATGACAAAAAGTTCTTCATAACAACAGAGTTTAGCTTCTGGGTTGCACGTCAGCAGTGATTGGTCACTCACCTTGAGTCATGCATCCACACAAGTTCTTTCTCTGAGACACACACACATACTCTGATGCATTAGTGAAATAGTGTCACATTCCCACAGCTCACTTATTAACCACTTAATACACATACATATTCAGATGAGTATGTTCCACCTTAGAGTTAAAAATAAAAAGAATAAAAAATAAAAAGAATACAAAAAGTTTAAAATAAGAAATAAATTCAAATTGTTACATTTATAATAACTGTGATATGAAAAGTTGCAATTGCAAGACACCAAGGTAACACTTTACAATCATATTTCATTTCTTAATATTAGTTAACATTAATTAACAATAAACAATACTTTCACAATAGTTAATAATTTTAAAATTCTGCCAGTGTATGAATTTGGGTAAACAAAGTCTTAAGAGTATTTCATGAGAATGTCAGGTTTAGTTGTGAGAGTGGAAGAACTTCACCATGAATTATGATGATATTACGTCTTTGTCAGAGATTTCATGGTTGACTGAGTTGTATAAAATCCAATCAGTTAGCATATGCTAACAGCTAAATGAAAAATCAAGAAGAATCAATATAAATGCAGTGATTTTGGCATTATCTGTCAGGTTCCTTCAGGTCAAAGTCAACACATTCCATGGCATTACTTAGCTAATAGCTGGTAGTCATTGGCCCATATTGAAGCTGTATTACTGTACAGGCCAATCACACCAGGGTTCAACAACAACAACAACAACAAAAAAACGTCTGTAATGAATTTCGAGCCATTTGACAGAACTGTCACTTGCCCTTATGGGACAATGCTGCAAAAATGACTTGTGATAGTCTTGAATGCATCAGTAAGAATTTGTCAATAAACATCAGTAATGTTTTGCATCACATGCCATTGTCTTCCAGCAAACTTTATTTTTTATTTTTATGAATTTATATAATTACCATTATATAATAATTTTAATGGACAAAACATTTTGTAAGGAAACTAAACATTTAACGAACACATAAAATATACATTAAATATTTAAGACATAGATATTTTATAAACAAATGTTTAATAAATAAATATTAAATCAATTAATCAGTCAATCTTTTTTGGTGCTGCCCAAAAAAAAAAGTTGACTGGGCAAGTAAAAACTACTTGCCCGACAGAAAAAAAAAATCCTTATTTTTGAGCCCTGCTTATGACACTGGGTAACACTTTATTTCGATAGTCCACTTTAGACATTCTATTAACAGTAAGTAACTTTGCAACTACATGTCAACTGTAATGTGAATGTTCTCTAACCAGTTTTATTTTAGTATTATTTATGTACTCTTTTAATGTATTTATTAATATTTTAAATAAATTTTACTTTTTATAATTAGTTTACATTAGTTTCAATATATATATACTGAAATTACTGAAAATTATTTGTAATGATTTTATTTTATTTTATTATTTTTAATTAACAATACTGTTTTTGTGCATAATATTCTTGATCTTAATATTGATATGATATTGTTTCACAGACCCTTTTTATTTGTATGCCTATACAGGCCAGGGTCCATCTATCTTCTCACACTTGGAAACTATCAGCAGTATTTTGATCTTGGCCAGAACAACACTGAGATGTGTTTAGAGTCACTTGGTTACTGTTCTTTGAGATGGATGTGTTTTTACCTTGATCTACCTCTATTAACGAAAAAATAGTCACCTGCTGTTCCATAACTAATAAGTCACTGATGCATGCATTAGAGACGAAAAGAAAAAAACTATCACCCACTCAACGCTGCGACTCCAATCACAGTCAGTTGAATCAGTCTGTCTGCAGTCGGCTCCAACAAAAAGCTGTGAAGTGCTCTTGGTGGAGACAGCGCTGTCTGTAACAGGCTACCGACAGGGCTCAGTCAATACATGCCACAGCCACTGGAGAGAAACTAAATGAGATTTTCTCTCAGGCTCCTTTTAAGTTTTTTCCTTTTTTCCCTCTTCCTCCCTCCCTTCTTCCATCAGTAGCTTCCTCTCAGCCGCTTCCCACCAAGCAAGTGGTTAAACAAAATTATTGCCTTTAGTTAAAGAATTGAGAGGATAGGGGAGGGGAGGAGTTTCTGAATGGTGTTTTGGGAAGGCCATCTGCTCCTGTTCATGGTTCATTTAACAAGCTACTGGGGACAGGCCATTTTCCCTGAGAGCAACAGGTATAAAAGGACTCTGTCCCACCCTGTGAGGATAGAAGCCACTTGACTTTTTCAAACTGATGTCACAAGAGACCCGTTCAGCAGTGTCCTCCACCCTCCCTTACTTCCTTCTTGAATTTCTAACTTATAACAGAACGTGAAAGAACCTAAATTCACCAAACATGCTTGCATTTAAGCCCAAAACTCAGTCAGTGTGTATGTTATTGGACAAATAATACAGGTATATTTTTCCTCTTACCTTCCCAGGTGTCCGTAGGTGTATTGTGAGTCTGCAAGCAGTAAAGCAATCTCCCCTTGCATCATTGAAATGGCGCACTCTTCCAGGGCCTATGCATGCAAAACAGTCACATTTTAAACTTCAGGTAACACATATAGATTTTACTGTATATACATTGATTAAGGACCAATACCAATTCTATTTTATACCCCTTCCCCCTACCACTCCGCCTACCCCTTCCCCTTGTCCCTTGAAACAGAGTGTCAAGGGGTAGGGGTCAAAATATTCCCCTAAGAATTGTGACACCACTACTATGCCGTCACACGTCATCAGTGTTGGGGAAAGTTACTTTTAAAAGTAATGCATTACAATATTGCGTTACTCCATAAAAAAGTAACTAATTACGTTACTTGGTTACTTTTTATGGAAAGTAATGTGTCTTAAAGGAAGCAATGCTTATTTGCAGACTTTTAAGGCTTTAATGCAGTCTGAAGTGTCTAAACAAGTTGGCAAACAATATTGACCTTACTAACTTTTCACCGAAAAGTGAATCAGCAAGGAGTTGACTTTTTTCCCAGCCTTGGGTAAACACATACAGAACTCAACATGTGAAAACACAGGTTAATCCCTATGGAAAACTCAGCAGGCAGCAGGTGTGAGGTGATAGACAAGATGCAGGCAGGTGTTCCAAGGCTTTGAGTGTGTGTGCGGTTGCCCCTCCTCTGCCTGTCAGGTGCCTTACCTGGTTGACATCTCCCTCTCCGATAATGAAGACCAGCTTGCAGTCTTTCTCCACCACAGTCCTATCCTCCAGCACACCCTGCATTTTCAGTGTGACCTCTTGACCCCAAGCCGGGGTCAGGACATTCTCGGGACTTGCCTGTAACACCTTCTTCCTTAGCAGACGGTTATCTACAGGCGGTTGGGGTAGTGGAGGGAAAACGGGGAGGGGAAAGAGATCAACAAGACCCTAAAGCAATAGTGTCAAACTTGAGGATGTTCTTAGGGTGGTGTTAGTGAAGCTGGTTGACCAAGGACGAGCACGGTGCTAAGGATACCATTTATCTCTTTTTAAAAGTGCTGAATGTCTTCCCAGCACACACCAGGTTAGTAGAAATTGATGTCGCTGCTGCTCAACTGCCAAACCGATGAGCACCTGTATCCATTAGTGACAGCGTGTAGTATTATCTAAAGCACGGCGGCCACATGGACTCTATTAGAATTATCATGGAAATGCATCGCCACATGACATAAATCCCATCTGAAGTCAGTCCATTTCCTGCAGATTTTGTAAAAGGGTCCTTGTTGAAATGTTTTGCAGTGAAGAATGCAGAAAATGATCAATGGATGAGAATTGTGTTGAAATGTAAAGCCCTACTGGTCAGTAGAGTTGTGTGCAGTAATAATCTCTTGGATTAGAAGAGCAAAATCTAATCTGCCCCAACGTCTGTAAGCTTCTTAATGACTTCATCACGTCGTCCCATAATGCAGTTCCCATGAATGCATCCACCAATAAGAGGACTTCAGGGACTGGTTGTTTTTTATTTATAATATAATGTAGAAATATTTCTCAATAAATACTGTATAAATCTAAATAATATTGCAATATACACTACCGTTCAAAAGTCTGGATTTGGTAAGATTTTTATTATGCTCCCTAAGGCTGCATTTGTTTGATCAGAAGTACAGTATAATATTGTCATATATTATGGCTGTTTTTTATTATTATCATTATTTTAGTATATTTTAAAATGTAATTTATTCCTGTCATGTCAACGCAGAATTTTCAGTCTTCAGTGTAACATGATCCTTCAGAAATCTTACTGACCCCAAAATTTGGTGTGTATTCTAATCCAATTTTAATTATATTGGTAGAACTAAATGTAAACAGATATTTGTCTAGCTACTGATCAAAAGTACAGAGAAAAACCTTTGCCATATTCTCATGAAGAGAACAGACATTGACCGAAGATAACACTCTGAACAGGTTTTTCCAGGTTTGCAACATGCCAAGTGTAGACGAAACATCAATGAGCCATGCATAATTTCAAGACAAGACGAGCCTTTAAATGTCCTTACTTGATTGTTTTACACTTATTAAATCCACAAAACACGCTCAAATACATATTAAAAACAACAATCAATCACTTACACTTGGCTGGCAAAGAAAAACATTTAAGCCTGCTTGTCCTTCAAATTAAATGTCAAAATATATGGTAGTTTATTGAGTGAAACATAAACATAACATTTAGCAGTGTGTCATTAGTGCATTGAATTTAAACTTAAATATTCAGTATAAATACATGGATGTGACTTTATATGCAGCTTTGAGAATGTTGATCTTGGTTTTGTCTCTACAGATAAAACACACTAGAGAGTTTTACTTGCTTTCTGCATTCTCTAGAGGCTGTTGGCACTGTTTATGGCATGAGTAAGATTAGCAAAAAGGCCATAGGACTGATTTCTTATTTAACCTGTGCTTTATAATTGCACTTGAACAGCTGTGGTGTTATAGTGTTCTTTTTGTGAATAGTCACTAAGCTGATGACCAAGCGACTTAACTGTTTGAAACAATGACACTGAATAAAATTGATTAAAAATGACTCATTGTTGTTGTTGTTTTTATGTACAAAAGACTAATGTTTGTTTATCAGCTTGGCTAGCTCAAATCGTACAACTGCAGAATCTTGGCAACTAGATTCTCTGCAAATGCCAAATGTAAAATCCCCAAACATTTATAAGAAAAATAGGTGGAAATTAAGGGAGTTTCAGAGAACAAACTCATTACAAATCAAGTCCTGATGAATGAAATATGAGGTATATTGTAAGTTATAATATTTTATTCATTATCCTGGATTTTTTTTTTTTCTGTAAGTTGCTTATTTTATTTAAAGTGCAACCTGACACCAGTGAATCTCATGTACTTTAATCTCTATTTAGATCCATTCCTAAGACTGTGACACTTAAGGTATGGATCTGTTTGGCAAGTGCTTGTACATGTCTGTATATTTAATGTAAATTTACACAGAACATTGAAGCTCATGGAATAATATTCCAAAGCAATCAGAGAGTCAGCGGCATTTTTTATAAACCACAATCTGAGGTAACATATATTGTTTGTCCAGCCGGCTTCAGATGTCCCTGTATCTCAGACAGCCATATGGCAAGTAGAGTTTCCATTAGAGACTACGAGAGAGCTCCTTAATCCAAAGGCCCAAGCACCTTGTCTGTTGGGGATTATGTCTTTCCAATTAACCTAAATTCTGTATTTTCCCCCTCACTGTCCATTTCACCTCATCTGTTTGTAAGCTTAAAGGGTGCAGATGATTGCCTGGCTAGATTAAGTGAATCATTTTTCTGTATGCACATTTTAATCTAGTTTAAAATGACAGTCTGAGCTTTTCCTCATCATTTTGTTCACAGAACATTTCTTTAATACCATGTAATTCCCAAGATTTGTATTTGCCGCTGCAATGAATTTCTCTCAGACATACCCATATTTGTTTGTTTTATCTTTGACTGATAACTGTTGTTTTTCAACTGACTGGTTTCAAGAGAATATTTTATTAGGTTTGCAGGCGGAAAAGCTGATTTAACATGCAGAGTTTTGTTCATACATGAAATTGAGATTTTTTGGATGACTTCAATGCCCAGGTATAATTTAATTCTGGTAATATTTATATACTGTAATTGATTTACAAGTTACATTTATTTGTATATAAGAAGACTGTGTACCTTCACAGGTATTTAAGAAGTTAGTCTATTTGAATTAATAAGTGGGGTTGAGTGGGCCGTGAATTTAAGAACTTCTCTATATACAGTAGTGGCCAAATATAATGTCCGGCCTATAAAAATAGATATCTTTGCCCTCTATTCAAACATTTTATTATTAAAAATGTTGTAAGCATTGTGTGAAGTTGTGCTTGGAGTGTAAAACTAATGTACATGCATACTTGTTTTATTTGTAATAATGCAATGAAACATGGCAAATTGTGTCACACAAAGATGCATGACACATGCACAAAACTTGGTGAGTACTGCTCTGGAGAATATATATTATGATATTTAATAATAATAATGATAAATTAATTAATTTAGTTTTTCTGTACTTTTTTTTTTGCCAAATCATTTTGTCAGTTAAATTTCTTAACCAAGTTAGTTTTTTTTGTTTTTGTTTTTGCTGGGTCATATAGCACTGCAAGAACCTGGATTAATGTTAATGTATCTTTACTTTCTTTACTTCAGGTGCGGGTGCACATCCACATATTTGGAGACCGGGCAGCTCATGGGATATGTCTTAAACTGATTTATTTTTTATTTTTTTGTGATATACACAACTTATGAGTAAAAGTCATGTTTAATATTCTCAGTACAGGCTGTACAGTAGAACTAGGAATGTTTTTTTCTTTATTACATTCCTTGTCAAATACACTAAATCGAACTTTATCATCCTAATAAGCTGAGTTAGACCACTATGTCTAATTCTGAAATACATATGATTATCGTTTGTGCGTACGTGCGTGTGTGTGTGCGTGTGTGTGTCTATGACGTCCCCACAACGCTCTCTCGTAACCCCGCCCAGCGGAGAGTGACGCTTGAACTAGAATGTCGCTAGTTCACCTCAGTTCCAGACATGGCAGCGTTGAGACAGGAGCATCGGTATGGACTCTCCTGTGGAAAGATTAATAAAAGCATTCCCAATAAAACCATCTTTCACGTCAAGCTAACCGACACGGCCATCCGGACGCTGGAGGCTTATAAGAATCTCAAGGTAACGCATTTAGTTTTATTTCGTGTTTATTTGCTCCACTGACCTCAATGGAACAGAAAGAAAAGTTCAGAACTTCAAAACATTTCCTTCCGTTAGTTGTTTGTAAAGTGTTGATTTATTTAACCAGAATCCGTCGCTTTAAGTGCCATATGCTGTTTTACTAGGACAGATAGTAACAGGAGGAAATCGGACACATCCAGTTTTTACTGTTCCGTTAAAGTTCGTTTTATTTAGTTTTGCTTATTTTTTTTTTCTAAGCAGTTACAAAATAAAAGAAAATGTCAGTCGTGTTATTATTTTTTTCGTTAAGCCAGTTGGAATTGGCTTTACGAAATCTCCTGTTTTCCACTTTAGATTCAAAGTCGCCGCTTTATTTCTTCTGGTAAATGATACGAAATGTAACATGGCACTGTCTTAATGCTAAACACTGCATTACTTATTATAATGATGATTATTTTAAACCGAAGATGATAATTGTTTCTTTTACTCATAACACTCACGGGGATCTTGCGGTCTGAGAGGGGCTCAAGGCTCAAGCTCGATCTTATGAACTATAAACCTTGAGTAGCATTTAGTCATTTAAATAGCCTTTGCGATTGCTGCCTTTTCATTAACCTGTCAAATATTTTATTTGACTCATATTCGAGAGTAACGCCTCAATTTACTGCAAAGGTTTATTGAACTAAAAAAAAAAAGCGTATGTAACCTAGTATTGTCTCTATATGTGGTGTTTAAGGTTAAGTTTATAATTGCTTCTTGAATTGATTAACTTAAATAGGCCTATGGAAATTGCTTGACATAGATTAAATCCAAATGATGTTTTTAAATAACTATTTATGTTGTTACAAACCTCTATGACTTTGTTTCTTCCGCAGAACACAAAAGGAAGATGTTCTATAGAATGGCAGCCTCAGTCCTCATTCACTTTCATTGTTGAAAAAAAACCAAACATGCAATGTAAGTGAATGGGGACTTGAGGCTGTCAGTCACTAACATTTCCTTTTGTGTTCTGTGAAAGAAAGAAAGTCAGCCGCGTTTTAAACAGCATGCGGATGAGATGACATAATTTATTTTAGGGGAACTATCCCTTTAAATGTCATGTTTGCCTCACGTAAAGGTAATTCCTCGTACGCAGTCTTTTTGCAAGTTAAACGCAGTTCAGTAATCAATACACAATTTGTCAGAACACAAAAGGAAGATGTTCTATAGAATGGCAGCCTCAGTCCTCATTCACTTTCATTGTTGAAAAAAAACCAAACATGCAATGTAAGTGAATGGGGACTTGAGGCTGTCAGTCACTAACATTTCCTTTTGTGTTCTGTGAAAGAAAGAAAGTCAGCATGCGGATGAGATGACATAATTTATTTTAGGGGAACTATCCCTTTAAATGTCATGTTTGCCTCACGTAAAGGTAATTCCTCGTACGCAGTCTTTTTGCAAGTTAAACGCAGTTCAGTAATCAATACACAATTTGTCACCGTCGGCTCGACAGCACAGATTCCAGTAATATCAGTACCTCAGCGGTGAAACGTGTAGGCTACGCCAGCTGGACGGGGCACTTGGCCAGTTAGCCTTATCTCAACTCAAGCGCTTCTTGTAGATGATTGGACGTTAAATGTGTATTTTTGTTGGCGTGCTCAGTCGTATTGTTGTTAGTCCTTTAAACGCTTGGACGCCGTCCCGATGTCATCGCTCATTGGTCAGTCAGGCGGTGTAGAATGTCGTTTGACCCAATCAGAATACGAGAAGACTTCCTCGCGCTTGCAACAGGAGCTCGATAATGAATGTTCTATTGTCAATAATATGTGACCTAGTAGAAAGAGTGAAAAGTAGAAGTAAATATGTTGGTCAGTCTTTTGTTTAATTTTTATAACTACCCCATTTGATATGCCAGAACGTTTTTAATAACTTTCAGTCACAATAATGCAGCTGACAGTCTGTCAGTGTCAGAAATTTGGGGCACTTGGTGGTAAAAATGCATTAAAATGAAAAATGCAGTGACATAAAAATGCCCTCTACTATGAATTCCTCTGTTTTTCATTTGCGTTATAATTAATTATATTTAGTTCCAAGCCTAGTTATACACATTATT